TCTCATCGTTGCAGGGATGCTGGGCTGAGGTTTTTTTGGTGTTTTTGGTAGAAGCCTTTTTTCTCTCTGTCTGTCATCCTGACTCTCGCAGTCGCCACCTGTCCTTGAGTCCTTGCTGTAGGCGACCTGTCAGATGGTTCTTGTCCATGTGCAGGTTGCAGGCTCCTGCTGAGGTCTCAACCCGGAGCCCACCTTGGCTCCTTTTGCCAGAGGGATCCCCTGTGGGGTTCTAGGAGCCAGTGCCCGCCCACCGTGTGCCTGCAGAGAAGGCCCCCCCTCACTCCCGATGCAGCCGGGCATTATTTCTCTGGTGGGCGCGTCTCCCGTAAAACATAAACTCTCTGCAGAGAGACCCCAAGCTGTTTGAGTCGCCCGGAGAGCCATTAAAAAACTTTCCAGAGCTTGATTAACCAAATTACGTAGATTTGGTTAATGGAAGTTTTAGGTTAACTGAAAATTAAACAGAAAACCATTTTGATTTTCTGTCAAGTTAAAGTAAATTAAATCCATAAGAAACTCTTAGAAAGTAGGATACGGTCTTTATTTCCATGTGTATGTCAGCCTTCAGTGGAAAAAAAAAAGCATTCGTAACATTTTATTTTTGTTATTTAGAAGGTTTTTGTATAACGTGGGTCCTCTGGGTCGCCACAGACTGAGTTTTAGGGTTGTCTTTTCTCACAGACGTATTTATGGACTGTTTCTTAGTGGGAATTGCTATGTCCATATTTTACAAAACACAGAGAGACGTTGACCCTCAAACGTGAGAGGAAGACGGTCGACATTTATTTTGGTGTTGATGTGCCAGAAACGGATTGTTCAAAGGGCACGGGCCTTGGATTCCACTTTGGGCCTCATGTATCCTGAATCTGACATGAAAGTGTTTCTATTTAAGGAAAGAAAGATTTGGGGCTAAATGTTCTAAATACCTAATCCTGAAAATAAGTAATTTATTGTGGGAATCAAATGACTGTGCTGTGGCAGTTCTGGGGGATTTCGGGTTTGCCCGGGTCTACCAGTCATCCCTTCGGGGCCATTTCAGGAGGCTTGAGTCACATCCCGGCCGCCCCAGCCGGGGGCTCTTGCTCGGAGCAGGTTTCGGGTTGGGTTGTTACGTAAAACATTCGAGAGCCCCTCACCCCACCGCCCCCCGGGCTTCCTGGCAGCTCATCTCCCCGTGAAGCCCTGAGGTCTCTCAGAGTCCAGGCTCAGAGCTGAGCCGGGCTGCTGAGTAATGGAATCGTGCTCTCGAACGCTAATCCCCTGGCAGTCGGGCTTGTTGAAAAGAGCGTATGATTCAGTGGTGCGATGTGCGGGGAGCGCCGGGTGTGTGGAGTAATGCGGAGAAAGGCCCGATTATGTCACGGGCTTGGGAGCTCGCCCAGCGAAGCGTGGGCCAGTAATGAATGACACAATGCTGGTTGGGATTATCCATTAGGGCTCAGCCCTAATAATTTTCCAAGCCTTGAACCCTCTGTGTAAAGAGAAGCCAAAGCCGGCGGAGCCCAGGACGTTTTCGGGAGAGATGGAGGTGAGAAACGCTCTCGTGGTTGCGCAAAACCCTCGTAACTGCTTTGAGAAGTGCTAATAAAATAAGAGCCGGGCCAGCTGAAGAGTCTCACGTAGACTCGCAGGGCAGGCGGCCGGTCGTTCGGAGCATCTCCGCGAGTGGAAACGGGGGCTCTGGCTCGAACAGGGACCTGTTGGTGGCCCCCGGGCCGAGTTTAATGCACGGCCGTGTGATCGCAGGGCCTCTGCCGTATCTCTGTCGCACAGCAAATCAGACTCTACCCGCGAAAGCTCACGTCCTCCGAGGTTTCTGTCGCTGTTGCTGGGTTTGTGGTTCAGGTAGGGCAAAGCATCAGACTGGGCGAGGTCTTCGGTTGAGATTCTCCCTCCCAGGCACCCCGTAAGCACTTCCCGCAAAAGCTGTGTCGTTCAGGCGACGTCCCTGTGCCCTGGGATTAGACAGGACTCTTGTCGTGTGTGAGGCAGAGGCTTTCCTTGGGGAGCCCTTTTAGAGCCTCGCGTGATCCCCATTAAAACTGACGCTGTAACTTTCCAGCCGCTTACTTGTGAGGGGAAATGAGCGGGAGGCTCCCCAT